TTTGGGGTGATTTTGGGGTGATTTTGGGGATTTTTGGGGTCATTTTGGGGTGATTTTGGGGGATTTTGGGGGTCACTTTTGAGGGGGTTTTGGGGCCGCCATGTTGGTTTGGGGGGGGCGCGGCCACGCGCGGGGAGTATTCCCTCAGTGACGTCATCAGGCGGCGACACGCGCGCGTGTCCCCCTCCCACTCGGGCGGCCATATTGATTTGGGGGGCGTGGCCACGAATGAGAAGCGACACCCGCTTTGTCTCCCTCAGTGACGTCATCAGGCGGCGACACGCGCGTGGTGGGGGGCGGGGCGTGCCCCCCCCACTCGCAGCCGTGGCAGGCGGCCGTGCTGGACATGTACAAGCTCTACTGCGGGGGAGTCCTCGTGGGACCCCAGTGGGTGGTGACGGCGGCCCACTGCACCACCCCGGGGTGGGTGAGAGAGGGGAAAAAACACCCCAAAAACCCGCCCAAAAATAACCCAAAAATAGCGAAAAAATCACGGAAAATAAGGGAAAAAACACCCCAAAAAACCGCCCCGAAATAACCCAAAAAATAGCGAAAAAATAACGGAAAATAAGGGAAAAAACACCCCGAAAAAACCGCCCCGAAATAACCCAAAAAATAACCAAAAAAATAAGGAAAAATGAGGAAAAAATGAGCAGAAATAACCTGAATTAACCCTGAGCCGAAATGACCCAAAATGACACAAAAATGACCCCAAAATGACCCCAAAATAACAAAAAAAGTAACAAAAAATAACAAAAAATAAGACAAAAATGAGCTGAAATAACCTGAATTAACCCTGAACCAAAATAACCCAAAATGACCCCAAAATGACCCTAAAATGACCCCAAAAATGACCCCAAAATAACCAAAAAAATATCAAAAAAATAGACAAAAAATAACCCAAAATAACCCTGAGCCAAAATAACCCCAAACTGACCAAAACTGACCCCAAAATGACCCCGAAATGACCCCAAAATAACCAAAAAAATTGACAAAAAATAACCCCAAAATAACCCTGAGCCAAAATAACCCAAAATAGCCTAAAAATAACCCCCAAACTGATCCCAAAAGAAACCCAAACTGACACCAAAAGAACCCAAAAAACTGAGCCAAAGTAACCCAAAATTACCCCAAAATAACCTAAAAATAACCTAAAAATAACCCCCAAACTGACTCCAAACTGACCCAAAATGACCCCAAACTGACCCCAAAAGAACCCAAAAAACTGAGGCAAAAGAACCCCAAAACGACCCCAAACTGACCCCAAAATAACCCCCAAACTGACCCCAAAATAACCCCAAATTGACCCCAAAAGAACCCAAAAAACTGAGCCAAAATAACCCAAAATTACCCCAAAATAACCTAAAAATAACCCAAAAATAACCCCCAAACTGACCCCAAAATAACCCCAAACTGGGGTCATCTTGGCCACCTCCTGGTCCTTCTGGTCACCTCCTGGTCATCTTGGCCACCTCCTGGTCATCTTGGCCACCTCCTGGTCACTTGGATCTTCTCCTGGTCCTGGTGGTCACCTCCTGGTCACCTGGGTCACCTCCTGGTCACTTTGGCCACCTCCTGGTCACTTTGGCCACCTCCTGGTCACTTGGATCTTCTCCTGGTCACTTTGGCCACCTCCTGGTCACTTGGATCTTCTCCTGATCACTTGGATCTTCTCCTGGTCCTGGTGGTCACCTTGGTCACCTCCTGGTCACTTTGGCCACCTCCTGG